GTAGTTTGACATCGGATGTTTTTGGCGTTGGCTAGGTCGCAACCCTGACTGCTTTCATGATGACATTAAAACATTTAACGAAGGCATATCTTGAGCATACAGATGAAATGTTCATGAAACTGTTAGGGAAATGTTCTATAGTGACAAGAATCGGAACAATTTAAGCTGTTTCCACATTGAAACAACCGACAATGAAAGTAAAATAGAACATTATAAAAATTGATTGAATAAACTTTATTCATCACAACCTGTCGTTTACAAAACTTTTTGTGATCGATATTCGTTGCTATCTCCATCAACTACCATCGTAAGGATTTGGATTTGAAATTCCATCACTCAGAAAACACTTATCCATTCGAAAATCCACGAAAACAGTGTCCCAACATCATTGAAGTCAAACTTGAAGAAATTCATTTAAGAACACGCACAATTAAGAAAATCATACACGACCCACTATGTCTGGGCCACGAATGTCTCATTCTATTCACACTCTGGCTTTGGAATCCATGAAATCTTTAAATTGACAGGTCACACCAGGCAGATTCTGAGATAGGCCCTACCTCGTGTACAAAATGTCCGGCTCGTCTGCAGGCTAAAAAGCGGCCGTCAGTCGTACTCAGTTCCATTGGTAATCATATTGTACCAGCAGGCTTGATCATTCCAAGTAAATCTACACATCATAGATCGGGGTTGTCATCCTGCTTAAGGAGCAATGGGGAATTTAAACACAAGATTGTCAGCCATTGACAGCTGCGAGGTGTGAGTAACCATGATGTAGGTCAAGTTCTGACACATCCAAGTTTGGGGTGGAGAGGCATTTATTTTGATGTTATCTTTGTTTACTGGGGGTAATTGCTAACTAACTAATAACACTTACACATGTTAAATAAATAATATAAAAATGTTAATTAAAAAAGTTTGTTGTAGAAATATATTCGTTTAGCATTTTAAAACCCTTTTCTACAACCTGTCACCCCCACAATAGAAATGATGGCATGTTCGATGTCCAAGAAATGACCTCTCTCGCAACTTCAGTCAGTCAGTCCACAGTGTTCAACAGCGTACAACAAGTTGGTAGAAATTAAAACATCTGTCTTTGAACTAAGTTTGGCCTGTTGTTTGTCAATTTCATTTGAAAAACTATGTCTTTTGAACACTTATTTTTCACGACTCACGATCATGGTGTTTTTAATCTTGAAGTGTAGTAATAATTGTTACATATATAACAACATGTGACCACTTTTCGGAATGTTCTAAGATTGCGGACCTGTGTGCCTGTGTTGTTGCCCGTTGCAAGAGAGCGCAGTTTTCAAAGCGTTGTTGCTGTCATGGTAGAATGCTAAAGCGCTCGGTTCAAATTTAAAATAGAGGTATCTATTCTACAGTGGGACTACATCAAATTTCAAAACACAGTAGGTTTATCTCCTAAATAACTATTGAGGTTATTCTACTGTACAGATAATATTACAATACAGAAGGAATTATCACCTCCAGACAAATCAATGATACTTTGCATAATATATAATAGACACGGTTGTTAAGTTTCGCCCTGCTTCTTACTCTGAATATTATAGTTGACAGTGTTTATGGCGTTTGATTCCACCAACTTCAGGACAAGACACTATGCATTATTTGCCCGACTGTTTTCATGAGGTGTAGCGTGTGCGCTAGTGCATAAAACTTCAGCATATTATTTTCACGTAGGCAGACTAACATAATAGAAGTATATTGATTTTTCTTTACTTTACCATGCATGACTCATTCTTATGAGATGAATGCCCAAGGAAATACAAAATAGAGGGTCTACAATTGCTAACATTTCTGAACCCAATAGTCCATTTAGGAGTCAATGGTATTCAAGCCCGTTGACTTGTGATTAAGGATATCCGGTGTAGACAAGAGCATCACAATTACAGCCTTAAAGCAGCCTATCTGACAAACAAGTGCTTGTTCGTTGATAGGTTTGCATTATTCAGAGATTAAACAGAGATTAGAAAGTCACTAACCGTGATCAGACCAACGTGTGTTCTATAAAGGAGATACAGCTCTTTGTTTACTGAATACGCGGCTGACTATTGTACAGGTAATAAGTAATTAAGATAATGAAGCCACATGGCCGCCCATGGCTATGAGGAGATGTCCGGTCTTTCTCTCCATTGTTTTGTGCCATTGTTTTGTGTCTATATATATATATTTGTAATGCGCTTGGACAAACTAGATGTTTTACAAGTGATCCATGACTAAACAGATGTGTTAGGACCTGATTCACACTTGCGATACAAATGAACCCAGACCATAATACATTTGTTTTGTCTATATCTATTTCCATGGCACACACACACACACACACACACACACACACACACACACACACAAAAACACACACACAAAAACACACACACACACACACACACACATTAGTGCAAAAACCTTGAACGCAACGTTTTTCCACATTTCACCTCACCACCTCAACTTCTTAAGTAAACGAAATAGTCAAGAAAAAGTTTTTGCATTGAGGAGCTACTTGCCCCTTAGTAGTGCCAGGATTGTTTAACGCCGCACTCAGCAATATTCCAGCTGTGTGACGTCGGTCTGTAAATAATTACGTCTGGACCAGACAATCCAGTGATTGATATCATGAGCATCGACCCACGCAATTGGGATCGATGACATGCATCAACCAAGTCATCGAGTCTGACCATCCGATCCCGTTAGTCGACTTTTACAAGCATAGTCGCCATTTACGGTTGAAAGTTAACGAAGGGAGATGGTCGAGGATTGATTTAAGTTTACGTGTATGTCCTCTTTGTGATCTAGGGACAGAAGATGAATATCATTTTATCTCTTAATATGTAACTCCAATGAAAACATAAGACACCTCTATCTGCCTGAAATGTGTCGTCACAATCGGAATATATATAAATTAGAACGCTTTTGACTTCGAACAATGTAAGGTTATTTAGAAACTCATGTGAATTTTTATGTCAAAGTTATGAGGAGTGACAAAGTTTTGCGAACACTAGAATTTGTACTATTTTATAAGTAGCTTATGACTTCATTATTGGAATACGTACATACGCACTTTATCTATATATGGGCCAGTGGCCATTTACATACCGCCGTAATATAGCTGGAATATTGCTCAGTGTGGCGTTAAACAACAAACAAACAAACAAACAAACAGACAAACAAATTGTACACATATAAGACTTGATTTGACTTTACACCACTTGACAATCTGGTCTTTGTGTGTGCACAGTGTCATGAAAGTATGCGTATTATATTTTCGTTCCGGACAAACACACTACAATGAACATAGACAAATTCAAATTGTTGCCATGGGAAAGGAAACAAGTACAAAATCTTTTACAAACTAAAGAGCGAAAGGCACAACCTAGTCTGTGTTTGTACAAAGTTTCAGGAAAGAATACCTATTACTATTAGAGATATCGTCCGGACAAACACACTTCTATGAACAGAGTGATATTCAAACTTGTTGCCATGGAAACAGGAAATTACTTTTTATCAAATTCCTAAATAGCAAAAGGCATCACTTCAGCCCCTGATTAATACATGTATTAAGTTTGGATGAAAGGCTTTGAGGATATTTTTTTTAGTTCTGCTACGGAAACCTAGCTCCATCTCAGCTGAGTCAAACTTGTTTTCATGTAAACAGGGAAAATCAAATTTAGAGAAATATCTAAACGACAAAACGTCAGTCCCTGGTAAATACATGTACCAATTTTGGAAGAAAATATTTCAAGATTGTCAAGTTATGCTCAAGAAACGAAATACGGACGACGGACATGATGGTAAATATATATCCCCCCTCATTATATGCCCTCCTCATTATATGGGCCCACTTCAGGCGTAAACTTCATTGCCAAGAACCTTGGTTATATGCTCACCTGACTGAAATTGTGCTTAAACGTCATGGTCTGTTTGTCAAGCAAGTTGCGTCCTTCGTAAACATCCTCGCCTAAAAAACTACTGGAACAAAGAAGCTTTCTACACCTGATCTCATTTTATTTAAAAGATTCATTGGGGGATTAAAGTTGCCCATCTCTTGTAAACCTCTGGGGAGCAGTGACGTCATCAATAAAGGTAATTAGGTTGATTTCTACTGTTGATATCAATACTTGCATCAATAATGTAACCTTGATATTGATTTGGCAGGTCAAGTTGGTGTTCCACACTTAAATTTTGTTCTTCAATACTTTACTTTACCTACAATGTTCATTCAATGTTCATTTATGTTGGTAAAATATGTCAAGGCCACATTAAACATCTTTGATATAGGCTATTTGGGCATGGTGTGAGACAGGATAATTATTTGACAAACCATTTTACCCTCAAGACATTATTATTAAGAACATCCAGCATGTCCAGTGAACGACTTCTGTTGTTGTTAAAACTGAGAGCAGTTGTGTTCGATCCCAGACACCATCACTGTTCATCAATGAAACACTTGTGAACCCTTAATGGGTTTGTGCTATATTATTTCATCAGGCTATATAGTGTCTCTTCCTGGCTGCCATTTTGCATTATGTCTTTAAGACAGATTGTGTTTGAAGTTAGCATTGATTAACACTGGTTAAATCGGTTAATTGAGTTTGTCTGCAAGCAACCCTAGAAATGCGGTAACCCCAGCTACCCTAAGATCACTCAGGCTTTGATAATCCAACACAGGTACAGTTGACTTTAGGGATTGAATGGCGAGAGTCGACATTTACCTCCAATGATAGTACATTTAAAGCCAATACAAAAGTAAGGTAGATAGTTTGAGAGAGTGCGTGAGTTCAGATTTATAGTCATATCAGCAATATTTCAGCCATATCGTGACTAAATCAAGTTGTACACTAATAATACATAAATATTGACTTAAAAATAGTTTAAGTATGTGATGAGAGATACCTGTACTGTGGTTACACATGTACAAAAGAAAAGAGTAAGTTAGTGCTCTAAACGAAAAATTACAATGTACTATACTATAACAGTACCTTAGGCCAGTGGTTGATGTCACTGAAGAGAAAACCTGGCCGCGTTGTGACGGCAACCTGGTCACTGCTGTTGCTGTTGAGTTCACAGATGTGGATCCTGGTTTCAAAGTTGAAGGACATGCAGACTGAAGACATCAGACATTCTGATGCACAGGAATAGAGGGACGATGACCTTACTTTCCTAAATACATAATGTTCCATATGCGCATCTACCTCCACAACAGAAGTTGTGTTGAAGCAAGTGTCACAACTGCCTAATCCTCCACAGGTCAGAATTAGGACTACGGTAAAAATACTTAAATTCATTTTCCTGTATTCTGAGAAACGAGATGGATAAGCTAGAGGTGTTAATGCAAGTTGAACAAAGCAAAACCTTTATCCCATCTCATTCTTCATCTGTAAAGTTGGAGCCAGGTCCTACAGTTGCTGACAGATATTTTGTCAAACTACCCGTCCGCAGTTATTGAAATCCATGTACAACTCCTCAGTGGAACATCTCTTTGTGAGCTTGCTGTGCTAGATTTCAACTGAAAGACCATCCCTTTTAACAACAGTAATGGATGTTTTGAGTCATTTCTAGAACAAAATGACTTGGTAATTAGTTTCTAAATATACCAGTCTACAATGGGATTTCTTAGGTCTCTTTCTCGTAAGAAAATAAGTAAGAATTGATCGAGGAAGTAATACTGTCAACAAATCCACTCCGATTCTGTGCTAGCTACATGATCCATTGTCAAAGGATCAATATAACTCATATTCCCTTGGTTGTCATATGAGATGCTACGTTTGAACGTCTGATAGGAGGAAGCGAATTGCGGGAGCCAACAAGCTTGCAAACAATGCGCGTGTTATATTTAATAAACGGTGTTCTGTCGTACCAAACGACACGAGAAAATTAACAGATAGAAAAATCGATTGCAATTCTATTGAACTGTGCATTCGCATAGTTTCTCAGTGATATAGCGTTTGTTTAGCTGTTGAGTTCGTATTGAGAACTGATGACATACTCTTATCTCCTGCTAAATTCCGTCATTGGAATTCACGAGCACGAAGATAGTGCTGACAAACCAAGATTCATTACCCCAAGGCTAATCAGGAATTGTCACCAACGATTGAAAGACCCTAGTACGCGTAAGGGACACAATTCAGTCCAGCGAATTCGAGCATTGTACCTCACACCCTTTTGAATAGTTTTTAAGTAATAATAAGCTGACATAACAAGGGTCAAACTAGGGGGGAATATTGTATTTGACCAGTCTGTGTGTGGCTGCTTTTACCAGTCCTGACTAATGCCAATTTTATAGTGCAAACCCACAGAGATAACATGCCACAGTTCAACACGGATTCCCCACACAGACACAGTGTACTGACTCTGAGCCGAAATGTCTTTGTTTTTACCCTTCAATCCGGGCGCCAGACGTTAACGTTTGGTATAACGCAGCCGGGGATCGAACCCCAGACCTTCTACTCTCTGGGTGGACGCTCTGCTACTTCATGGAGATAGTCTGCTTAAGAAGGGTTATAACGATATATAAGTTACATACTACGGAAGCGTAGTAGGGCCAGGGTGAATTTTTTTGTCTAAGTATCTCCTACGTAGGACTTAGTATCTCCTACGTAGGATTTACTATCTCCTACGTAGGACTAACTATCTCTTACGTAGGACTTAGTATGGCCGAGAATCACTATCTCCTACGTAAGACTTACTATCCCCTACGTAGGACTTCCTATCTCCTACGTAGGAGATAGGTATTCTAGTCAATAATAAGTCCTACGTAGAAGATACTAAGTCCTAAGTAGGAGGTAATAAGTCTTACGTAGGAGATACTTAGACAAAAAAATTCACCGTGGCCATACTACGCTTCCGTAACAAACTGATTGAGGATTTTGCTTGTTTTTTTTCAAAGAAATAGATTTGATATATACACTTTCATTTGGCTAACTAGATCAATCATAAATACCACTGGCAACATAAAATTCAAAACCATACTTGACAAATAAAGTACTCTTAAAATCAGAAAGTAAGGACTGACAATTTGAAAGTTAAAAAAATAAATTAAGCTTCAGACCGGTCCTGAACAGCCAACAGAGTAGAGTCGCATATTGCAAATCATAAGAGATTAATACCTAGAAAATATGTATAATCAATCATCCCACAGTAGTGAAGGTGCATGTGCTTGTTGTACGATGCTTGACTGTGTTGGTGTTTCCATAACAGAAGATCCTAGTTCAAGGTTTCATCCATAAATATTTCACGAGCAATTTAAATGATATAGGTTATCATTTAATTGTTCGTTTTATAAAATAAATGGAATTGAATTATACATTTTGATGTACATGGGAAGTTGTTTTATAAATTGGCAGAATGATCATTGCAGAGATCCATAGTTGCTCTGTAGCCCTTTTAATATTGTATTGTTATGTGTGGTGATATCTTTTGATAGATGCTGCTTTTAAGGATAGGCATGTGAAATCTAGGCGTTTTGCTGACGTTTATAGACAGGCATGTATATAGTCTAGGCGTATTTATTATTAATGTATAACATTTCACGATATGTTTAAATACTAACGATGTGACTTACAATTTCACTTGCTCGCCCACTTTGGCAGATGCACACATCCCTTTCCATGAACAGGTAACGGAATAATTTCGTCCTAAACAAGGATGTGTGTTACGAAGGTGTACGTGACAAAAGAACGATCTCGGTGCCGTTCTCTTTATCTTCAATTTAATGACGCTACAATTGATTTTCCCTGTCGTGTTCACTTACGTTACATTAAAACAAGCTTTGTTTGTTCAGTGATATCCGTATATAATAGGTTGCATTAGTTCGAGGTGGATCTTCATATGACATAGAAAAGGAGGTAATAATTCAGTGTCATACGCATAAAAGGATGCAGCGGCCAATGGATTCTGCTGAGCAATTCATATTACTATTGTGATTTTGACATTCATGACAGCTTGTAAAAGGAGCGTGAAGTCTGTTAATTGAGAACTTGCAGACTAATGGACACAGCGCTGACTGAATACGTAGTTTGTTATCCTTGGCCCAACCTTACCAAGTGAAGACTAAGAGGCGATACATTTAGTGATTTGTCTGTCTTCACAAATAAGGAAAATGCAGTCTTTTTAACGTTGCCCTAGTTCTGACCTGTGGAGGATTGGGTCGGTGTGGAACTTGTGTCAACGCGTCTTCTGTTGTGGACGTAAAGGTGCATATGGTACATAATGTATTCAGGAAAGTAAGATATGGCCTTCTCTCTATTCTTATGCATCACAATGCCTGATGTCTTCAGTTGGAAGTCGAGTGGGAGTGACCAAACCTAGTTCAAACGTCGATGAAACGTAAACGTTTCTGATTTAATACCCTTTGAAAGAAGTAGGGGGTTCTCTGAAATAACTTTAAAATTCCAAGATAGTAAGAGAAGTTTTTAGTTATGAACTGATTGGGAGCACATTACAACCGTTAATGTAGTATGACCGTATATGTTTTGATCGCCAACGACTTTGAAAAAGGGATACGGTGGGAAAGTTAACGTTTTTGGATCAATAGTGCGTAATACCGCCACGATTTGTCAAACATTCATTCATGAGGCAAACTGCTCTGCGCGTCTTCCAATGGAGGTTTGAGGGAGTCTGTCCAACTCCTGTTGCAGCTCCTGGCCAATTTCAGCCAACATGGTCGGCAGCCTATCATGTCCCAGACGTGTTCAATAGGGGAAAGGTCTGGGCTCATTGCTGGCCATGGCATTTCAATGGATCGTGTGCTGCTGGAGGTGAGCTTTGACTATTCGTTCACGGTGAGCATGGGCGTCGTTGTCCTGCAAGACAAAACGTCGACCCATATGCCTTGCACAATATGGAGTGGTGTTAGGTGAGTCATAGTGATGCAATCACACACAATCATTGCATAGTGAAAAGGGATTAATCTAAAAACATGACATGTGACCAGCGACGAATACTACAGTTTCGACCTTGTGTACACCATTGACGATTTCTAATCGTCTTACCCCTAACTCGTACTCCAGTAGCCCAATAAAAGCTCGATTTCGTATAGAGCATGATTTTGGATTTATTGATCCTGTACTGTTGTCATTGACCTGGAACGCCTTGAACGGGGTCGATCGTCAACATTTTGGGTTTGTTGGTACCTGTTCCATTGTTTCCAGCAGGCCAATAGCTTGTAGACGCTCCGCTTGTTGCAGACTGCGCATCGCTACTTCATACACAAACAATGAATGGAATCAAGTAAATCACAACTGTAAGATAGTCATTATCAATACGATTGGCAGAAATAATGGTCCACAGATATTAATCGACCTTCCTTTAAAGTGTCCAAATCAGGAATGATACCCTACGCACGAACATGTATGTGACGATACTGCGTGCAGCACGTTCAAAGTATTGGGTGTGTTTTTGTGTTATGTTTTACAAACATAAACATTCTTGCATAGGATTCTTGTCGTCAACACTTATATTTGTTCTAATACTTGGAACATTTTCATTTCATGATCCCCTATTTTTTTAAGGAAAATAGGTACAAGGCAGTTAGGTACCTTTAATAAGGCTGTTTACTGTAAACATGTGTACTGTACAATAGAACGTACTGATTGTCCTGTAGAAGGGTGTGCTTAGAAAAATGATTCACAGAATGGTTTCGATAATGTTCAGGGCACTTTGTACGGCAAAAACGACACAATCATATACTATATTTTTAATTTAGTAATTTTATGATATTCTAGTACAAAAGGTATTGATTCAAGTGAATGTTTTCCCAAATCTATACTAGTTTTTTTGCATTTTGTTTTGAAACAATAATTCTTGACGAGCTTCCCGAATAAAAGGACAATAAAGATATCAAACAGCAAGGCGCCTGCAATTAATCTTGCATTTTGTTTTCACATATTACATTGCCCTTTTTATATTGATTTGATACTCAGGGCGCGGATATATTCCATGCTTGAACTTATTTTATGCAGCTGAAATCGTTTAATATTTTATGGCAATCAGACAAGTGATTGTTAACCAAGTTAGCCATGCGCTAAACCCATTAGTGATCAATTCTCAGTCAATTTCTGAGATGACAGAACTAATTTTGGATCAGAATATAGAGTTCTGTTTTCATTCCTTCCACATAGCAGGGCACATAGCAGTCCCAATAACATACTCTAAAAGCTTTGGTTTGATACATTAACTACATTAATCAATTCCCACAGTCAACATTCAACACATATGCCTTCGGATTACATAATGTACCTTCAGGTTAACAGTACCCCTAAGTGTTTAAACACATAAAGACGGCATAAAAATTATATTCTTATTTGTTCATATTTATAAGTTTTTTGTTTTTTTTTATGGTTATCGTTCAAATTTAAATGCTCATAATTCTAACAGAATAGTAAAGTTCCGTATGCTTATGATATAGAAATGTAACGATTTGTCCTCATTGTTCAGAAAAATAACCAAATGATTTCCCGCTTGCTTGACTTATGATATGTTGATTGTGACAGCTATTTGAATATGTGGATATAGTTTATTGTGTTCATGTGATCTCGCAACTGAATCTATTTGTTGCAAAAACCTACCTGGGTTATCTATAACTAAAGATTTTTTAAATGAAGGATGCACGCTGTACTGTTATCTCCCTCTGCACTCTGTACTACTGAGGCATTTCTCTGTCGATATCTTACTCCAAACGCTGTACTGCTGAGGCATTTCTCTGTCGATATCATACTCTGCACGCT